GAAAAGTGGCGCGAGATACGAACAGTGTAGTGACGAGTGACGGTAGAAATTTTTTTTTTTATCGTGAATTTTTATGATTAAAAACTGTTTCTACCGTGTCGAAAGAGCGTCACGAGATACTGTGTGTGATCGATAGTATAATCAAATTAATAATTATCCCTACGATGATACAAAAATAAAACTCGAGGAAATCGTTCTCTTTTGTTCATTCCTTTCGCCTATTGTTCTATCTACTACTCCGTGTCACGCAAGTATCCCCGATCTTGATCGTCTGCTGGATCAAACCGATCGGTTTGCGTGACGGAAATCTGCAATCTCGCTACTCCCTATATATCGGAGGATCAGCCCGCTTGGAAAACCATCGGGATAATCACAGCGTTTAATATTCAGCAAGTATCAATGATTACAACGTGGAAAAACCTTGGGTTACAAAAGTTTTATACAAGCTCGCGTAGTACACGGTGTAGCTCGTCTCCGTGTGCGAATTTCAAAACAAGCTTCCGCATGTGAACCGACTGAAACCGCCAGACATCGTTTTCGTGAATTATAAATTTGCATCCAACTGTGTTGGAAGAGGCTGCAGCTCTCAATCGAATTATTGTATCGATTAATAAAAGTTATTATTATCGTTAGTTATCATTTGAGAATCAAAAATTTTTTTGAGAATCCAAAATTTATTAAAATTAATCGACAGTAGCCGGATTTTTCATTGCACTTTTGTCGATTTATTGAGATCACTCGGGGGCAGTAAGCTTGTCTTGTACGCATTATTCTCCGTAATTTATACACTTTAGAGAGTGAAAAGTACAATTAAGTTCTTCAACGAAGATACTTAATGATATATTTAAAAATATAGCGGATTTTTTTATACAACTTATATATTTTCAAGAATGTGATTAAGAAGACGAGAATCTATGTAGAAAACTGTTTTGCCTACTTAAACTTTGTGGAAAGCAAATCCGCAATCTATCATTTTATCATATCTCTTGCTTCCTTAATTTTATAATAGTGTATTTATAAAGAGTAGAGGCTTCTATTTCAAACAAAACTTCTTCCACAGGATCACCACTTTACTTAATATTTTATAAGTACGAATTTGTAAAATACTTCGAATTAAATACAGTGTACACACACTGCTGAAACACGATTCGGTTAAAACGAAACACCATGTACGCGCGCGAAGAAACGTCACAGAAACAATCTAACCGTTAGTACCCGTTGCATGGTATCGAGATAGAACTAATCGATACAAGTTAAAAAAAAAAAAAAAAAAAAA